TATTCGCCCCACCGCCGCCTGCTTCTGCAGAGACCCACGAGCGGGCAGGACCCGTGGGAGCCCGCGGGGCGGGTGGCACACGCGCGTCCCCCGGCCGTGGCAAAGGCTCAGGCTGCTGGTTTTCCTGCAGACCTTTTCGGAGCTGGCAACGCTCCTGCTGCCTCGTGTCGCTGGTGAGCCGACGAGCAGATCCCAAAACCGTGGAATACAGCGGCCAAAACTCACCCCACGTCCTGCCCTTGGGCAAAGGGAGATGACAGTCCCGCCGCAGACACTCACTCCCCAAACACCACAAGTTCAGAGAAGGGAAGAACCCAAGCTCAGAGGGGTAAAAAACAAAAAAAAGAGGAAATTACTGTGGATCTAAATGGATATTCCCACTGAAGAGGCAGATGCTCCCTGCACAGCAGAGCCCGGCTGGACCCATCCTGCTGCTGCAGACACCTGAGACACACCCCGGAGACATCCTGAGGAGCAACAGGAGGCAGAGCCCAACCACTGACACCTGCTCCCAGCTCTACTTCCAGATTCAAGGATCTAAACTCACACCTTGCCACAGCAGGTGTCATTTAGTCTTGTCTTTAATCTTCACCGCCGCCAGCTGATCCAGGCCAGGGCTGAGCCTATGGCAGAGGCACACCCAACCTGCAGGAGCAGGTGGCTCCCCCCATGGGCTTCAGAGACCCCCCAAGGCCCCAGGCTGCCGGTGTCTCCTCCAGCAGCCGCCAGCACAGAGGGGAAGAGCATTTCTCTCCCCCAGCTGACCCAGCAGGCACGCACTCTGCTTCCTTTGCTTTAGTAAAAAATACTGAAATAATCTTTTTCAGAAAAGCCCTTTCTCACAGCAAGCCAAAACCTCCTCGAACTCTGCCGCAGCTCCTTCCAAGCAGCCGATCTTGCTGTGACCAGAATGGAGAGTTTCCGATGGCTTTTTTTTTTTTCCCTTATTCATCTTTACAGTATGATTTTCTCTAGGATAAGTCAGGGCACAAACAAGTTTCTCTTAAGAATTTCAGGGGAATCCGTTAACCATATCTGTTCTTTACCACCAGCTGTTTCTCCAGCTTCTCAAGGATTTTAATTGGTCCTTTTCGTTAGTTCCTGTTCAAAACAGAATTTGCAAGGCTTTACTCCTCAATAACGAGATTATTATCCTATTAATAGAAAACACAATTGAGCCTTTCACAGCTGCCCTGGACCAGTGCAGCCACTCATCACCCCTGTTAATCCCAGCAATGCTCCCCAACACTAGCTTTTGCCACAGACACGAAGCTTGATCTACATAAGCAAAAGGTTTCTAGGTGGGTTTTCAGGAAGGGGCCAGGGCAGAGGAATTTTCCCCTCTCCTTCACAGCTGAAAATGCTGAACTTGGGAGGGTTGGTGGCCAGAGAGGATTTGAGATGCCTGTTTTGGTACCAGCAAGGGCAGCCTGGTGCAGCTGTACCGCCGGCGCACGTGGACACTGCAGCTCTTGCTTGAGCAGCTTCCCCAGTAGACAGGCCCCTCTTTATCTCTTGGTCTGGACTAACAGAAACAGAGCTAGAACTGTTCACAGCCTGTAGGCAGCTGAGGCAAGACAGGGAGCGAGACGGCTGCTGCGTGGATCCTTCTTCCTGCCAAGGAGAAGGAAGAGCTGCTCCCAACACCACACAGGTCGGTATTTCTACCACTAGAAGCAGCATAAAGAGGCACAGCAGAACAGGGGTCTACTCCAGGAAATCAGCTAAGGCAACGGAGGAAGTAGGTCATCGAGGGGGGGTTTCCTGGAGGTCACTTGATCCTTTCCCTTATCTCACAGAGGCAGATGTTTTGTGAAACTGCTCAAAAGAAAAATCTTTACTGTTAGAGGTTCTGCCAGCCCCAGCTTTGTGTCTGCTGCACGGAGAGATGTGTGGCTGTCAGCTGGTTGGAAAAAGGCTCTGATGAGCGGGGAATCAAAGGGAAATCCTTTGGAACGCCAGCTGCAAGCAGCAGATATAAGGTAAGAGGATTCTGTTCTTGCTTTAAAATTTCAGCAGTCATCTTTCATCAACAAATATGTGCTTGACCAGACATAGCCCCCGCAGCCCATCATGCCGTTATTAAGGTTAAAAACCTGCACCTTCCTGGGACAGTTGTTCTGGGAAAAGAGCTCTGACCTCCTAAAGACAAGACCCGATTTCATCCCACACAAGAGCCTGCTGCGACCAGGAAGCCCCAGGAGCTGCAAGGAGAATCAGGGAGAGGAAGGTGGCATTCCCAGCTCCGGAAGGAGAACTCCATGCAAAGCTGTTTTTAAGGGAGAGGAGGACACCGGGTCACTCAGCAAAGAAGGCACGTGTCGAAGTCGAGAGGACGCTGCCTGTGCCACTGAAGCACATCCATCCCCACACCAGGGGAACAAGACCCAGGCTCAAGGCTTTCAGCTGCTTCTGCTCTCAGGTTGGGGCAAGCTGGAAGTTGCTTTTGCAAACTCCAGCCCAACTGGATCCAACACCAGCCACAGGCCTGGCAACACCTCAGAGGGTCGGGGCTGACGGGCTGGATGGACAGACACCACCACATACGGAGGGGCTGCAAAGGAGATGGAGCATCCATTGCCATGGATGGGATGAGCAAGGTCCTGCTCAATCAGACAGAAGAGCAGACACCACATCTCCAACAGCTTAAAAAATAGTACATTGTGTTCTGCGTTAGAAATTTTAGAAAGCCTGAGAGAAAAGGTCTGCGATCCAACAGAGCATTGCAGAGAGGTCCTACCTTGCTGGCTGGGGATGCTATTTTTGGCCTGGGAGGTGTAGGGAGTTGGGTGCTGTTGAGGAAAAAAAACCCACCAAACACTTAAGGGAAGGAAAAAAAATTAAGTAGTGAGCCGTTTAAGGGTTTCCCACTGCTGTGCCCTTGGGAGAGCAGCCAGCCCCGTGCCGAGGGGTGGCAGTGGTGGGGTGGCAGCAGGGACAGGCTGGGCAGCTGCAGTGAGAGCAGCACACTCACGCAGCCACCGCCATGTGGGGCTTTCAGGGGGGCTCCCGGCTGCTGGCCACCCTGCTGCGGACCCCACGCACGCCCCGGGCGCACATTGCCTCCAAGCCACCCGAACATCCAGTCTCTGCTGCTGTGAGTAGCTTGGGGGGCTGAAAAGGGTGGGGAGGGCAACCTGCTCTTATGGGACACCCTGGTCTGAGGGGTGCAAAACTCACCTCTGCATTACAGCCGGGTTATTTTTGTTGGGAGTAAAAGCAAAAGGAGAGAGGGGAGAAAAAGGAGGGAAGGTGCCCCCGGAGCAGTGCAAGGTCCAGACCGCACCCCCACAGTAGGTGCTCTCCCCCTGCAGGCTCTTGATTCCCTTTTATTTTGTCTTTTCAATCCCTTTTGTAACCTTTGGGATTTAAGGTACCTGCTGAGGGGCCCCTGCAGCCCAGGGGAGGTTAAGCCATGAGGCAGCCTGGGGACCTCAGGGAGGGGGTGGCAGCACAAGGCACCCTGCCAGCACAGACAGACACCTGGGCCCTGTCCCCCTGTCCCACTCACCCCACAGCAGGTGTCCCCACAGGCAAGGATGGAGTCTGCTGTCATCCCATGGTGGTCCCTCCATCCTTCTCCCTCTGGGGACAACCCCCACAAAAACCGGAGACACTCCAGCCATGGAAACCCTCCGGGCTGGGTGAAATGGGCTTGGAAAAAGGAGCTTTTCACCAGAAATCCTGGCTGGGTTTCACCTCCTGCCCTTGCTTGTGGGGTTTACCCTCCTGCTGCCTTTCCAAGGTCTGCACCAAAGTGCTTCAGGAGCCTGGAGACTCTTTTTCTAGACAAATAAATACAAAGAAATAAAGGTGACAGTGCAATGGGTTAAGTGCTGCCCTCATGCACCAAAAATATAAGAGGCTGCTGCTGGTTGCATTTCACACCTCAAAGTCATCTGAAAGTCAGGCCCAGCTGCTCTGGGAAACACCACGGCCCAAACCTCGCTGCTGACTGAAGGTCACGAGTTGCTCCAATTTCCCAGCGAGTGTCATGACAGAGAGACACGGAGCAATGGAGAGAAGCCAGCCCGGTCCGCTGGTGGTGGCAGCTGCTGTGCTTCCCCAGATCTCTGTGACATGGTCCCAAGGAGCGTCTGTTTGGCCGCTGTGGGGCTGCAAGGAACAGGGACAAGTGCGCCTGACCCATGGTGGTAGAACAGTCCCAGGAACTCCCGCACTGCGGCCGTCCTGCTAATTCTTCTCTTGCCGGCAGGAGCAAGCCCTCGCCTTCTCCGTGATGGCCATGTGCTTCCTGGTGCCGGCAGGCTGGGTCCTGGCACACCTGGAGCACTACAAGAGCAGATCAGATTAAAAAGCAGCAAGACCCACCCGCACCCTGCTGAGAGCAGGTGTCTGAGCGAAGGCAAGAACACAGATCTTCACCGGGGAGGAACCCTCTGAGTTTGTTCATTAAAATTTGCCTTAGTACTCAGCACAACAGCTTGTTGGTTTTGCTTCAGCCTCGCGCTCGCTTGCAGGGGCAGGGATCTGTAACCAACATGCTGTTGCCCCACCAGCTCAAAGCGTACGTCCCGCTGCAGCTTTTATAATACCTTGGGCAGCTGCAGCGAAGCACAGGGCAGATACCAAGGAGCCACCTACAGCACCAGAAGGAAGCAAAATAAAGTTAAATTCCCAGCAAGAAAACACTTAAAGGTTGTACGTGACACTTGAAATGGGCTATGTGTGGGTACCACACACCTGACATTTCTTCCTGCATGAAGAACCTCTTCTCCCTCCAAACACAGCACATTTCCTAAATGATCTGGGTTATCAGGGAAGCAGCAGCCAGCACTGGCTCCCACAGGGAGGTTTAGGTAGCAAATAATACTTCCAGACATTTAAGTGTTCAAGGCCAGGCTGGATGGGGCTTTGGGCAACCTGGGCTAGTGGAAGGTGACCCTGCGTGGGGCAGGGGATGGCACTGTATGGGCTTTAAGGTCCCTTCCAGCCCAAACCAGTCTGTGATATCTTGGAAAAACCTCCAAAACCACTGTTATCGTTGGTTACACTCACTGCCCAGGAGTTCACACAGGAGCCAGTCCTGCCCTCCGGACAGGAAGGCTCTGGGAACACTCCAGGGATTTAGTGCCCTCCCAACAGCCCCAAACACCTTGGGGGGTTTGATGCTCATCGGCAGCAGCTGCAGCCCCACATGGTCAGCACTTCCTTCACTCCTAACATGCAGCAACAGGACACTACAAGGGAGATTGTACTACTTAAAGCCTTTTTCCTGTCCTTAGCTATGAAATAAAGGAAATGTTTTCCTGATGAGAACACTCATCTCCACCACACACTCTTCTGAAGCCAATAACAATGACACCAGGAATTTGCTCTGGGAGACAACATGAAGCATAAACTGGGGGAAGTCAAATCAGACAACGCAGGAGCAGCAGACTGTGGTTCAACACACACACCCCAACAGCTGAACTGATGCAGGCAGGGCAAAATCAAACTGTCAGGCTGGACAGGGAAGAGGCAGGAATTCAGAATGAACAACTCCAAACCAGGGAGAAATTTAGGCCAAAACCGATTATAGTGGCAGAAAGGCAGAGGATGCCCACATACAGGGCCTGACATTTTGATTTTTTTGTTGCTTTTACAAAGCCTAAGTCCCCCTTGCCTGAGACATCTTTGCACCTGCACAGCAGCATGGTGTCAGTTTTTTTCTGCTGCTGACATAGAGCCCTCAGAGCCAAGACAGCAAACTAGAAAAAGCAAAGTACACAAATTCCAGTAGTAATTTGTTAGTGACACCAGGGAATTGCAGTCATACAGCACACTTCACATTTGCTAGTAGCCATGGTAAATGATTATGCCAGTAGCTATAGTTACCATATGGGAACAATCGCAAGGTCAAGCAAGAGCAAGCTTTGATCTCCAAACCTTAGAAAACAGGTGGAATGTCCTGGACCATCAAGAGAATGTCTGGGATTGTGTTAAGGATGAGTTGACAAACTGGCAAAGGGACTAATCAATTAATTAACTTGGCAATGAAACTAACTTTGGAGTGTCCTTACAGTGAACTGCCTTCATTATAATACTAAAACCCACACCCCTAGGTCAAAAAGCCCCCTGCCCAGGTTAAGACCCTTCCCCTGAGCATGTGTAGGAGTAGCAGCATTATATAAGCTGTATTATCAGTACATGTTAATCACTAACCAATCAGTATCTAATAGACGTGTTTGAAAAGTACTAACCCCTGATTTTTGTGTATAAAAACAGCACAAAAACCTGCTGGTGGTGTGCTAGATTTGTGAAAAAGTCCTCCAAGCACCCAGGCCTGAATAAATACAGGGTCTCCTGAGCATGTTAAGATGGGTTATTGCACGCTGGGCACAAATCTGCTTCTCGGGTAACAAAAGTGGTACCTAGAGCTCTTGAGTCAGAGCAGTGACGAGACTGGCGCTGGGAAGCAGGAACTGGCCACAGATATGCTGGCAGCTGCATTTCAAAACCCCTGACATCCCGAGGAATTCAGCCAGACAGGTGAACATGAGTGTTCAGTCCAAAGTCACTGTTCAGTCCCCGGGGCAGTTCCCTTTAGTGCCTACAGCGGGGAGTTACCATCCCAGCAGACGCTCGCGGGGAGCCCCTGCTCAGATCTGCACGTGTCCGATTCTCCCCGTGCAGTTACCTTCCATCCCTATAGACATCGCGGCAACAGTCAGGCAAAACAACTACGTAACAGACAGCTTTTAAAGACGCAGCTGAGACCAAAGCAGAAAAAAACCTTGTTGTCTCAGGGCTCACTTTGGCCGTTCCAGTCAGCAAGACTCAACTTGGGAAGAGGCATCAGGATTGCAAAGGAACTCAACAAAGAAGTACATACCAAGGTAGGACACGCCAAGTAAATTACATACTAATCCCACTGGTGATTAACAGGCTGTTTAAGTCTCCATTGTTGGACAGAGGGTTTTTGTACCATGAAATTCAAAAGGAAGCCAATTTTATACAGATCAGAGGCTCAACCGCAAGTTATGAAGACAACAAACACAGAACTACAGAAAAGGGAAGGCAGAGAAGTTTATTCCAGCAATACTGCTGCACCTCACTTTAGCACAAAGTGTTCGTAAAAGACAACCACCCCCAAAAGTATATAAAAACACATCCACTAAACGGTAATCCTGGAGAAAACCCTTTGATGGAGTAAACACTCCCTCTACTGCAGATGAGGAGGAGGGGTTGTGGAGAAAGAGGGCAGAAGGAGAAAGATGGTTTGGGGAGTGCTGCCTCTGGGCTGCTGCAGGGGCCGGGGGAAGGCCATGCCCTCCCAAGCCAACACTGCTACGGAAACACCACGTACGAGGGCCAGGCCCCTCCTGCGTGTTTTCACAAAGGAGCCTCTGCTACCGCCCTACCCAAACGTGCAGCCAGCACCTCAGCCTCCACCCGTCCCTTCACAGGACCGACCGACCCACCGCTGCGGAGCCTTCGTCCTCCTCGAGAGCAGGACGGCAGCTCTCGCGGCCAGCGTCGCTTGTGGTAGCGCATAGGGAAATCTTGACTCCAAGCACCAAAGGGTTACACAGCAAAAGGCCACTTACTCCTGTGAACAAGCGTCGTAAAGCTGCTCCCCCCTCTGCCCACCCACCCCCCTCCAGTAGAACGCGGTACAGTCAGTGGTCGGAGCGCTGCTCGCCTCGGCCGCGGCAGGAATCGCTCTCCCGGGGCGGCGCCAGGGCTCTAGGTGAGGATGTCATGGGCTTGGTGCTCCACCAGCATCTCCATGCTCCTCACGTCCGTGCACCAGAACTCCAGGCGGTCTTTCATTCCTTTGATCTGCAAGGCAAGCCCACAACCACCTCGGTGCCTTGACTACCGCAAACACCGACGCTCCCAGACACCGGAGAGCCCGAACCACCTCTCAAAACCCCCCACCTCTAGAAAAGATGCTCCTCAGCATCTTCTACCATCAAAGCAGGAGCGTTTAAACTTAAATGGCAACACAAAGGAACTGTTTGAAGTTCCATGTACTGATTTCTTTTTCTTCACGTAAAGGCACCCTATACAGTCTCCTAAAGTTACAAGGATGAACCCGAGAAGCTCAGCACCTTTGTCCTTATCACCCCAAGCTTCTCTCTTCCCCAGACAAGCGTCCACCTGTGACCCAGAAACACGACTGCCTCATGCATTTAGGCTGGAAGCAGCCACACAGATGTTCACGTCCTTCTGGAAACGTCACAGCATTTGTGCTTCACGGTGGTTTCTGTGGCGTTCAGAAGAGAAGTGTCACTAATATCCCATTCTGTCTCCTGACGTGTTTGTACTTACTGCAGAACAGATGCAAAAGGCACCACACCCCCAAGGTAGGAACTACAGGCGTCAGTGTAAGGAACAAGGAAAAGCGGATATACTCCCTCGTTCCCTGAGCATCTCTGAGAAGCACCAAGGATACTAACTCTGACAGTGACCCTTTACAGTTCTCATTTTAATTCCCAGGTCACCTTACAACAAAACAAGGTAGTACTGCCTTAATATCCAAGCTGGCCATTACCTGTTGTAAATCCAACACGCGTGGTTGTACCCACGTCATGTGCACCCTCTTATCGACTTCATCAATGCTGCCCTTCACCAGGCCCACCGAGAGCGCCTTCATCACCAACAGTTCCACCTAAAAATAAAATAAATAATTCAGGGAAACAACGGAGAATCACCCAGTTTCCTCTGCAATTAATACCATGATCAGGAGGCTGAGAACTTGGCACTATGAAGAAGTTTTATTTGTTCAGCCTACAAGTGGCAGCTTGGGGGTATCTCATCAGTCTTCTAGTACCTAAAAGGCAGTAACATGGAAGGTAAGAGGTACTATTTTCACAAGGAGGCACAGTGAAAGGACAAGAGACCACAGGCAGGATTTGCTTCAGCAGGGATTCCATCTGGATAACAGAAGAAAATTCCTCACCGTGAGAAAAATTAAACATCAGTGACATTTCCCCTCACTGGAAATACTCAAGCCAGCTTGGCAGGGCTCTGCATAAAAGGCCTGCTTTCATGCAGATGGAAACAGATGACCAACAGAGATCTCTTCCAGCTTCAGACTCTGACTAAGAACCTTCAAAAATTTATTTATCAAGAAACAGGAGCACCAAGCAGTTAATTCCTTCTTAAAAAAGTTCTCCAAATGCACAAGAACAGGGAAGAACATTTCTACTTCAGGTCCACCTATGGGAGTCGGTCTCTCCAGACACTGAGAGCTTCAGAACTTCACCATTAATGAGTTTGTCTAAACCGGAACTCACCTCATTCACAGTGACCTTGGCACTCTTAGCAATCTCTTCAAAAGTGAGCTGTCTGTGATTGGCCGGCCGGGTGAAAGTCATCTGAACTCATGTAAACAAAACAAAGTAGTAAATCCCCTGCTTTTAGTTTGTTCCAACAGTGCACACAGCATCCTGCTGAGCTCTCAATCTGCAGTAGCAACTCCATTTCTCATATTTAATCAAAATACTTCAAAGAAAAATGTATTTATGTCAGCAGCAAGCAGTCATACCCCTCCCTTGCTGCAGCAAGCAGCAGATTTCCTCAGCAACATCATCATCTCCCAATAAAGCTGATCAGTCTGTGCTGATACCTCTCGGTGTGTATCAAACCCCTGAGATAACACAGCACCTACAGGTGGTAAAACCCATGCACAGTAAAACACCTGAAGTGTGACATATACACACACATTGGTACGGGGGTGTGTATAAACATATTACACTTTAGGTAACTCATTATTTAAATTTTTGAAAGAAATCCAGGGCCATGGAGGTTTATACACCAATATGGTCACAGCAGAGCCAAAACCTTCAAGTGACAGGAAAGAAACTGTGTAAACATTTAGGGTTAGGTTACCCCATCAGAGAAATCTTCAGCCCTCAGGAAACCGAGATTTTGGAAACCTTTGTCAAACTGGAATATACTTTAGAAGTTATCATTTCAGACACATCTTGAAGGCACAGAGCTTGCTCTCTCCCTCCCCACTGCCACATACTGCCTGAAAGGGCACAGAAGCTACAGACCAGCCCCCAGCCCAGGTTCTCCCCAGAAGTATTTGCCTCTGACACCACCAGCAGGCAATTACTCACCCCCAGGAGGGACCAAACACACCCAGAGATCAGAATATTTACCCGGGCTACCCCCACCAAGAGGCACTTGGGGCAGCCCTTCCCCATTTCCCACGTTCAACACACCACAGTTCTCACCTCCATAAGACACAACAGCTGAATCTTTTGCAGCAGAAGTGCTTCATTTGCAGCCAGATCTGGCTGTAAAATGATAAAATGGAATAAGTTTGTTCATTATTACCTTTTATTGCCCCCCACCCCAGGGGAGAACAGCATGCTACACACAGGAGTAAGCCACCTGGGGACCCACTACCTTCATTTACGAGGGAGGAGGCTATTACTTCCCACCCACTACCTGGTCACGGTTCTGTAAAACTGCAGAAGAGCTGCAGAATGAAAGGCAGCGCCTCACATTGAAGGCCACAGCCTGGCACAAGCGGCCACACAAGTCAACCTGTGAATTACTGCAGTGCCAGTGGTTTCCAATACACCCAGCGCAGTTAATATCCAACAGCACCATTTTCCTCAAATGGTGAACACAAGGGGAAACCACTATTTCACAGTGGAAGCAGCTTAATCCTGGGAGAAAATGGCATCATGGAAATTAAATCAGAGGTTATCTTCCCATGCAGGGCTGCATTGTTTTTGCTTTGCCCTGATCATGAGAGATTTCTCTTTATGTTTCTCAATTAGTCGAAGCCAAAAGAATGGTACATATCAACACAGAAGAAACATGGACCATGAGTCACCAGTCAGGCCCACAGCACCCAAGCATCCTCTGTAAATAGCAAGTCTAAACCTTAAGCAAAACAGCAACTCATTTGCTCACCTGCTGACCCCACGCCGACTTCAGCGCCTGAAACGTCTCCACGTTCCCGCTGTTGAAGGCGTAAAGGGTGTCAATCAGCCACTGTCGATCGGTGCTCCGCAGGGACTCCAGCACAGGGTGCATGAGCTGCAGAAACCAGGCGGGACCGTGTTAACCGTGTCAAATCCAGCCCTGGTCCTCAGTAGCTGAGGCAGCACAGCACCAACTTACCAGCTCCCCAAAGTTATAAACACCTTCTCCCAGGAGCCCTGCCAGGCCCAGGGTAAAGGCTCTCTCCTGCTGCTCTGATACTGAAAAAAACAAAACAGAGAAAAAAACCCAAACAATATAAAGCAGCAGTCTAAGCCCCATCAACCCCTCCCCACCCTCTTCCCTGTGCCTGTATTAAATCCCTCCCAGCTCTCCTTCACTTCCTCTCCCAAGCCTGATGTCCAGAAGCCTGCCGTGACCACCACAGTAGCACAGCAGGGCCGCTTTCTGAATCCACAGGAAAGATTTTTTGGGAAGTCGAAGCAGTTATCCCTTCTGGTGGGAGCACGTGCCCCCTCCCATCACCTCAAGGCAGCTTAGGAGCAGAATTCTACTCAGCCATTCCTCTTGGGGGTTCCTCCTCTTTCCAACTAGACCCTGACTCAACCACGGCAGATTCAAAACAACTCTGAGAAAAACCTGTTCTCTATCGAGGGAAATTATTTAGATTGAGGTGATGGAACAGAGAATGAAAACTGGGGCTTTCTGTGCTTGGCAAAGGAGCAGTTACCCGGCAGATCTTTAACATCAATGCATCCCAGGAACCGCAGAGCATCCTTATAGTACGAGGCGTGGTTCCCAATGGTCTGGTAGTACTTGCTGGAGAGGTCATAGAAGCGGCTGTGAACTGAGGTCACACCTGGGAGATTGTTCAGCATCTCTTCAACCTCCTCAATGGTCTCCTAGAGGATGAAAACCTGTTGTGTTACAGGCAAAGGTACAACCCCACAGGCACCTGCTTGCCCAGCAGCACAAGGGTTACCACATGCTTGTGCAGGCCAGCGGTCACATCCACAGGGTAGTAACGCAGACAACACCTCAGCCAAAGCATAAGAAATAAAGCAATGGCATTCTCTTTCTACATAGTGGTTACATTAAAGAAACCCAAATAACAACTTCCCTGCTATACTTATATATCACACACAAGCTTTAAGTATACTTATACCCACCAAGCATCAAACTTTGTACTTGCTCTAGAGACATCAAGCTGCACCACATGACAAATACGTCATCTTAGCTTTAACAGACAGTTCTAAAATAGCCAAGAGCTGAAAACCCAACATGCTTCGCACTACTTCAGCCCTCACCCTACTTCATCCCTCACCCGCAGCTTGGCACAAGCAGTAGGTACACCACTGAACTCAGGAGAGCCCCTGAGCTGGGGGCTGGGACACATCAAGCCATTGTCCCTCTCTCCCAAGCCACGTGCTTGCAGCTGCAGTGATCAGCCACAGGCAAGCAACAGCACCTCAAGGGCCACATGTATCAGAATCTTACTGAAGCTTCAGAGGTTTAGCTGTAAGTGCTACACACATCTTTATGGGCAACAAGATGTAAAGCAGAACTGCAGGTCTTCCCGGAAACTCCAGGAGCTGCACATTTATCACCTCCTCATTCCAAATGGGAGCACAGACGCAGCCCCGTCTGCACTGCAGTACCTGCTGAGGTATGTCCCAGCACTCCAGAACGCCCCAAAGCATGAACTGCCCAAGGCATCCCCTCACCTTGGTGACCTGCAGGTCTCCGATATTCAGCTTGAGCGCCCCGATGGCAGTTTTACACAAGATGACAGCTTCGTCACTGCTTTTTACCTGCAGGTACACAAAGAAACACAAAGTTTAGACAGTGTTAGTTACCCCTGCAGCCATCTGGGCTCCTCAAACCCAGGCTGCAGTGCTACATTTCATTAACATGTTCCTGCACTCAAATACAGAGCTGGTCACTGAGAAAAGGAATGGGTACTCTCCAGTACACACACAGCTGCCTTCATGCAGGCTCACATGCAAAAGGATTCCTGGAGGTGAACTACCAAAAAGAGCAATTGCAAAAATACCTTTTCTCGAGTCTTTTCCAGAAAAGTAAGGGCCACATTTGGATCTGAAGTAGAAAAGAAAAAAAAAAAAAGCAGCAATATCAGGAATTCCCGTGGAACTAAATCTCAACCTAAAAATATATCCTTTTACTGAATTCATGAAGGCTGGAATGTATTTTTCCTACAACACCACCCAACCTTCAAAAGGAGCTATATCACAGGTCAGGCTTCCTGCTCCCCATCCATTTCTCTAGCAAAGCAGCAGACTCGCTGCTCTAAGTAGCAGCAATTATTTAAGCTCTCTGAATTAGTGTTTTCCCTTTTCCACACACCAGAAAGGCAACAGCTCAACTCAAGATTTAGCTGTTAACTAGTTAAATTTCACAGGCTTCAGCTACTAAAAATACTGCAAGTAACTAGTAAGGACTCTTACCTGTCATCTGTCTGACTACATGAAGAATGATCTCTACCAGGGACAAGGGGTTCACCCTAGAACAAAAAACTCACTGTCAAAATAGTCTCAGTCAACAGCAGTTACTTAAGAACTTGAAGACAAACAAACTCACCTGTGCTCAAACTCACTGATGAAGTTCTCATAAAGCTGTAGACACAAAGACACCAACAGTCAGGACAAAAGGATATTCCATTTCAGCTACAAAGCTCACTTTTCACTGTGTTCCAATTCATGTTTCCACCAGAGCACCGGGCACCCAACACTGAAACTTTACAGAATCCAGGAGCCCAAAATCAGTCATTTTAGATAATTTTATCTCTGCAGTCTGCTTCCAACTGCAAGGAGTGAGTCAAGAAACCCACAGGCTGGGTTTCTACAACAAAACACCTGCCTGCTGCCTGTCCTCAGCTATCACTGTATAATAAGCACAGGCCAAAAGCTCTTAAGTTTCTCTCTGCATACAATCAGAAAAGAGATTGCCTCTAGAAACCCACTGCCCTTTTTCACAGCAATAACTGGCTCTGGGAAAATGAATAACAATACAAAGGAGAGCAAAATTACATGATTACTTGCAACACACAGAGAACATGCAACTCTTGACTGAGTACATCGTTGCCTTCATAAACAGAAGCAGCTCTCAGAGAGGTGGAATGATCCACTGACCACTCTGAAGCATTTGTGAGCATCTGACAACCCATCCTACACTTGTAGTTGTAAACTCCTTTGTTACAAAAGGGAAAGAAAAAGGCTTCCCCTGCACCACCCCCCCCAAAAATAGTAAATTAAAGAATCATTTTGAAGCTTCTAAAACTGACACATTTCATTTCAGCAGAATTTTCACACACCAACAAATTCCTGCATGCTCATGTCCAGTGCACAAAGCCCAGAAAGCTGAATTCACCAAGTTTAATAATTCTCCACAGATAAGTCACAGGCTTCTTATTTTTCACTAGTACATAAATACCACCACTCATCTCTGCTACAGAAAGGTAAAACCCTTGGGAATAATCGAGCACCTCACCTTGATGAGTCCATCTCCTTGGGCAAAGCAAGGGTCCTGAACAAAGTCCAAAACTTGAAGAGTCAGCTGGTGCCAGAGTCTTAGGAAACAAGAAGATCATTCAATGAGTTCACACTTCACACGAGCTCAACTCGTGCCCTGTCCCGCATTTCACACGCGGAGCCTGTCGAGCCCGCCTGGCCCCATGGCTGCTATGACTAATGACGGAGACAAATCAGAAAGCCGGTGGCAGAGCCCCGCCAGTCCGGACACTAGCCTACAGCAAGCCCAAGGGAAATAACACGGAAATCAGCACCCCGGTCTTCCACAGCGACATACGTGCAGGCTGAACGATTGCTAAATTACGAGAAGGGCACCGGAGCGGCCCGCCCAGGGAGGGCTCCTCAGCCCAGTACCCCGCCCCGTCAGCTCCGCGCAGCCGGAGGGGACCGTGGAACCCCCCTCTCTCTGCGGGACGGGCTGGGCCAGCGCACGCTCGGCCCGGGGAGGTGCCGGAGCCCCAGGACGGGCGCGAGCCAGGCC